GGTCAAACGTCGAAACGTATATAAATGTTGACCCATTTATTAGGATACACAAAAATATGTTGGTTAAATTAATATTAGGAAAATAAACTACTTATTTTTAGAATATTCGCGTATAAAAGAAATGCTATTATATTACAATAAGGCAAAAAGGTAATACAATTGTCAATTGATCGAGAAATACCAAATAAAGTTTAACATTGTATCTAGATAAAAATTTGGGTTTCGAAGTACTAGAAAGATGTATAATTGTTTAATTGGAAAAAAACATACCTAGTGGAGAAAAAAAACAAAACGTTTTTTTATCTGGATTTTAGGTTTAACACAGATATATATACAATATATGTATTTAACGCGTATGTATAACGATTATTTTGCTAAGTATTAATATTTAGGTACTTATGACAACTGCGATGCCATMCTTTAACACCTGTACATTTGCGTTAATTTTAAATTTAACACTAGCGTACCGTTGTATGCTACAAAACACTGTTGTTACCAACAATCATATCGATCAAGTTAATGTATTTTACTCATTACGTGAGAGCGTATTTTAACTATAAATCAGAAAATATTTTTAAACATTTAATATATGATGTTGGTAGATTTTTATTGTTTAATAATGTATATGTATAGTATACAATTGAACCCATTTATAAAGTGCTTAAGTATCATTAGTTTTTTATAGCCAAATGGTAACTTATATAAATCTTCTAAAGCAAAATTTAAATATATTTTAACATTTTCTTTTATAACTAAACCGCATGTTTCAATTTTAAAAGTATTCATAAGTAAAACATACTATAATTATTCTTTTATACAGTGCTATTTATGATGGTAGTTTTTAATAAGTACGACTAATACGAGTATAATTTATAAATGTAAGATTAATATAAATAAAAACTACTCAAAAAGAAAATAAAGATTAACACTCAACAAATTTATATAAGAGTCATTATTTTTCACTAGGTTAAAACATATTGGGTGTGTATATATTTCACAAAGTTCGTGACTCATGAAAGATGACTAACATAAAATAAAAAAACATACTTTTGGGGTAAATACAGCTTTTAATAATTAAATTACTATTAAGTATTTATATATACCTAACTGTTAATTTTTCTCTAAAAGTGCTGAAATGTCTGTATTTAAGTATGTAACTGACAACAACTGTTTAAGTTTTATAGATTGCCTTTTATAAATTCCATAATAACTAATACCTTTTGACATAACATAAGGATTAAATGTCGCGATAAAAATATTCAGTAACTTATATGTTTTAATATTAATTATTATAATTAGGTAGAAATACAACTAGTTAGGCACTGCAATATAATATTATAATGTATATAATGTAGCAACTAGCAGATGTATATTGAAGTATGTGTATTTATTTAAGTACGCAATAAATAAGTAAATTATGACTTCAATATTTTAAGACCTGAACAATTTAATGAATTTTATTTTTATAAGCCAAAAGTATCACCAACAATATATAATATTTTAATTCACTATAAAAATATCCTAAAAATKTATTATAAAATGTTAAATAACCTTTATTATGCAAGATATATTTAAGCAATATACAATATACCTATCTGCAAATATAATAGTTGTCTTAACAACTTTAGAAGATCTTATTATATCAGGACAGCAATAGTAAAATACCGAACTACAGAAATATTTTAATGAATACTATAGGTACTACTTAAGTCAGACGTATTTAAGAATTTTAAAATGTGTTCGTTATTTGGTAAAACTGACACAAATTCATAAAACAAAATTGTGTAGTTGAACCGTGTAAACAGATGTTATAATATAGTTGGTTACCATGTATTTACATTCAGTGAATCATCAACTAAATGAATCTAAATGTTGCTAAATAGTAGAGCATAATATTGTAAGCCTTAATAATCAAATATTGAAATATGTATATATATACATAATGATATATTATTTAATTATTGAAAGATTATTTAAACGTCAATTTTGGTAAAGAATTTTAATTATAATTACTTAAAACCAAATCAATACAAAATGTCGGTAGAGAATTTAATGACTTAAGATATGAAAAAGATATGTTAAAACTATATTATTTTAATTGATTCAATTATACCAATATGTATATKATATGCATATATTTGGTTTTCGTATTTTTAATAACTATGTTATTTATTTACAAGACGTGTATAAATAATATGATACAAATAATGAATTAAGAGCGTGTGACAATGAATGTGAGATGAATTTATTTATATTTAATTAATTTAACTTAAAAGAAAATGATGAGTGATATAAACTATAGTTAAACTCATTTCAATTCAAGAAATAAAAATAGTATCGTATATCAGTTCGACATATTGTATTTTTAATATTTTTCAACTACCACTGAAACAATATGTTGGTAGCCTTTGAAACTTTTTGACCCAACCAATACAATTTTTATCAATATTAATTTTAAAAAAACTAATCATCATCGAAAATTGCAGCTATGGGGAAATGCTAAAAAGTCAAACCTGAATAAGATTCAAGCTTCCCAAAATATGACCTTAAGGAAATTATTTAACGCCCCTCCATACATATCAAACAATATACCCTACATTTAGATTGTAACTTAAATACTATTCATGACGAAGCTAAACGTTTTTATAAAAAATTTCATAACTGTCTATCATCTAATTCAAATCCACTCATTAAAAACTTATCATCCCTCACAATCCCAGGTAGCCCTCCAAGGCGACTTAAACGTAAATGGTTCAGAGATTTATTACTTTAAATAACAACATATAAGATATAATAACTAAATATTTAATATGATAAACCAAGACGAAAGTGTCATCAGTGCCTCAGTGGGTGGCTTCTTTCCTCAAATTTATGTAAATCACCCTATTGTTTGTTTCCCTTATCGCACATATAATTATTATGCCTAAAATATAGATTGTATATTTTCTTCTAAAAATAAAAAAAATCATCGAAAATTGCATAGGTGTGCTTATAAATAGTTCAACTTAAGTCAAAATTTTTTGAAAGTTACGTGGTACATAGAATATACTTATATAAACATTTGGTGAAAATTTCATGTACCTATCTAAGATTATTTGATTTAAAGTCATATCAAAAACCAAAATTTATTTTGTAGAAAACTGATTGTGCGTAAAAATTCCCGTTTTTCCCCTAATGTTTAGTTTGTTTATCCCGATTATTTAGAAAAATATTGAGAATTTTTTACTTTTAACCCCCCAAAGTACCAACTATATTCACTTTCCACCCAACAGGTACTGAATTCGAAAATCGAAACATTTTTATTACCCCAAAACGTGAGGACATTAAAAAAAAACACACATCATGATAAAATCAACACATTCTTCGCTCCGCTCAAAATCTATAAGTTATTTAAAATTGTCACAAAGATTGAAGTTTCAATCTATATTATAGAAACATCATGGAAAACTAAAAAATCCAAAACACGCTTTTAAGATATTTGAAACTGTTTTTTGTCGGTTAAATCATAAAAATTAAAACTTGTTTGCAATTTCACTGTAAAAACAGAGACTTCAATTTCCACTTACCTACTTTAGTTATATAAATTATAATACAAAGCAATTATGCTTCGTGTATTTCGTACACCGATAAAAACAACCTATTCACAACAATATGCTAACAAACAATGGTACAATACCAATATATAAAAATATAAAGTATTCTTATAACAAATAAAATAAAAAATATAAATTTATAAATTAACGTTAAGTACATTGGCAAAAAGTTAAATTTTATATTATTATAATAATACATATATATTATATTAATACTGTAAAAGTAGTGCATGTGTGATATGTTAACATTAAACACGATTAAGTATGAAATGCATAAGACTGGCTATGACCTTTCAATGTTCAAGTTTAAAACTTACTTTAAGCTTCAAATAGTTACAAATGTATTTATTCAAACGTTTAGAAATATAGAAATATAACCATTAGATGTGTTTTCAAAACTTTCAGGTATACATTAATATTTATTAGTTTTATAAATTATTTTAAAAATTATTTAACCATTGCCTGTGTCGGTTTTGATACTATAATAATAACGTTCAATATGATAGGAATCGGGAATATAGAATATTGTACCTACGTTATGAATTATTTACCAAGTTAGTTTACACATATGAGTAAACATATGGCTGAAAACTTAGGTAGGTAATGCAATTTGAAAATCATAAAAATATTCACCTATTTACTAAAAGTAGTTATAACACAAATGATCATAATAATGTACAATGGAAATAATAATTAAAACAATAGCAATTTTAGACTTCAGTCTACTTTGATCTTGAGGACTACCTATATAGTATATACTATATAATCTATAGTATTCGTGTACCTACTACATATATCATATCATTATATGCTTTACTATATAATTTATAGATCAACATTTTTCATAGTTTAAAATTATAATAATTACATTTTTTATTAATACAATCAATATTCCATATATTTCCATAACAGTGTAAAGTGATTTAATACTGTCACAGAATGTCGGCTTAACTATTTCTTTCATAAACCATACGTACTTCCCGGTGAATTATCGAAGTTTAAAACCGGTCGTTTTCTTAGTTTTAACTGTTATTCAACAATCTTCGATAATGTTTTTGTTTTACGATATCGTTTTTGTTATTATTACATTATATTCATTGAACACGCGAAGGAAATTTATCTTTCACACGAACTCGGGTCTCGCGGAAGTATTAAAAGACCCGTTGATATGAATCCAAAGACCAAAGTAGGTATAAATATTGGAAACACCGGCTTGACTATTTTAAACGACCTACAATCTACATATTTTTTACACGATGAGTTAATATATCTACAAGCTATACTCTATCGTCTCTATCGATATAGTGATATCTGTAGTAGGTAAGTAATAAAAACGGTTATAATTAATGATAATCTATCCTGGTTTATGTACATATTTTCTTTTCCATAATCATTACGTTTACTTACCGAGACGCTGTTATTCGTCAACGAAGCTGTTTCTGTCTTGTCGATATTCTCTGCCGGTGACAATACAACAGTGGGTGCAGGGTTGGCGGGCATAGGGTTAGCGGGCGCAGGGTTGACGGGTGCAGGGTTGACGGGTGCAGGGTTGACGGGTGCAGGGGCTCCGGATGCAGCAGAACTGGCAATATTGGTGTTCGCTTCAACCGAAACGCATTGCAACGCGAAAGCAAATACAATTGTCAGCAGCACGAACGTAGTCCTTGCCCGGTTTTCCATTTTCTTCCAATTATATTCGTCCTGTGCAGTTCAAAATTAATGAACGTAAATTTATTTACCGTAACTGTAGGTATATGATGTCTGCTGAGAAGAAGAAATCCACTTGAAGGTGTATCAAACGACGACAACAAATAACAACAACTTCGGCGTCCGTTATGTCTGAGCGCTTCGAAAACCGGCGTCTGTCTGCATAAACGCATATGAGAAAGCCAGCCACCGGGCATACGGCATCATATTATACGGTGGCGGTTGCCAGTTGGTGGGTACGCTGCGTTTTTCGGATGCCTTGTCAGGTGGGGGAAACATAGGCCGTCGCCGCGACAACGCGACGTCTGGTGACCAAAACCGGTACAAACCGTCATTGCTCTGGCCCAAAACTGTATGAGTGTAAAATAAAACGTCTAAATGTAGTATAATACATATACATACTACCTATTTTAAATTTAAATTTTATACAATCATGTTTCGTTTCTATTCAGATCATAATGTAATTAATGATATAATATTATTGATTTCCATGAGTTATTACTGAGTGTTTGTTGGTTTTAAAACACCTACCATGTGTATAAAAATAATTACATAATTACGATAAAAGTATTATGTTATATAATATTTATAACGAGTTATCGTAAATTGCAGTTACTTATGAATTATAAGGAAAATACTAAATAGACTGATATTATATTTAACTTAATTTAACATATTAGGTACCTGCAGGTATCTAATACCTACATACTAGTAGCCAGTAGGTAATAAAATACAGTTAAGTTACTGAAGTATAATAGGTAGAAATAMTTTTTTCAATTTGATTTTAATTCACTCTGTTGATTGATTCTTTTTAGTGTTACATCAACTAAATATATTACTGTAATAGGTAGTATAATGCAAATTAGTTAATTATTACCTACCTATTTGATATTATCATTGCTTCAATTTATATTAGTTTCCTTGTAATGTATTTTATTTACATAATGATACATACAGATTTAATGTCAGGTATGTGATAATAAAAAAATGTATTAACTTTTATAACAAAAATTTCAAATATCTATAAATACTTTAAAAAAATCAAAATATTTTTTAAATTATTCCACCTTTAGATAATGATCATCTAAATATTTATTAATAATTTCATATTGTTTTTATGGTGAGATTTGTTTTTGAATTGCAACAAAACAACAAATCGATTTTGAAAAAAATTGTGTTTTGTAAATTTAATATTCTAGTTGTTTAGTACCTAATTTATTTTTTTTTTCGATTATTAAGAGCATTAAGTGAAATACAAATTATAAATAATTTGTTATCAAAAAACTAATTAGCCAACTTTAAAGTTGAAGACTTAAGTATTTTTAATGATCTAAAAGGCGACGACAGTTACAAAAATTTAAAAAAAACCTTTATTGCTCTGCTCCGAATTTTAAAAATGTTATAATTTTTATTTAAAATAATAATACAAATTTTATAATATTTTATGCCACGATTGAAGTATCCATGTATTTAGTATATACCATCAAAAATAATGAATTGCAAATTTTGTGAAAATTGAATCGTTCAAGGTATAAATATACATCATATTTGAACACTGATCGACTTTTATTTATGTTCTTGTACTTTGAAGTTCAAAGATTTGTACCTTGATCGGCGATATAAATTATAAAATGTTAAAAACGTTGATGCTCAAATAGTATATGCAAGACGTCATGAGTCCATATTTAAAAACTACATAAATAAATATTGAAACGAGCAACAAAAATAAATATAATCGTTATTATCTATTCTGTATATTGGGAAAAAATAATGTTCTTTATTTAAACGTAGAATATGTATAAATCAGCACAATAAGTATAATGTGATATCGTGATAATTGTGTCAGATTACCGCAGATATACTTATGTATATAACCACTAACCAGTATGAACCATTAGTGAAACTGTATTATATAGGCTTGGGCCATTAATTATTATTAACATTGTAGATCATTTAAGATAAGATTTACAGGTACAATGATAAAGTATTCTAATAGTTATGTTAATAACAAAAAATATATAGATGAGATACCTATACATATATTTATTACATATATATGCCTATAGGCCCGTATTTAGSGGGGCAGGTTGACCTCTGCGATAATTTGTTGAATGAGTTGATAAAAAGATAAGAGATCTATGATAATATAATTTCAAAATATTTATTAATTTCACAACTACAAGAATAAACTCCATCTGAAATAATAAAAGCTGCTAAGAAATTACGTATACTATATAACGAAAACGGATGAATTATTCGATAGGTAACAAATGCATACATTTTCAGTGTTTATTTAAGCCATTAGAACAGCCACCAACAACTTTACTTCAAATTAGCTTTTTTTTTTTAAAAATTGATCTTGTAACAACTTTTTCTTACATGAATGTAGCATTGAACATGTTTTTATGCACATATTGGTCTAAAATTGTTCAACCGAAAGATCATTCTCAGTTTTAAAATGTATAAAAAAAATACCTACGGTCTACCATGTCATCTAAAAGACTTAAAAGCTTTGCAATCCTTGCTAATGAATCATCAATAACTAATAAATTAGATTTTAGTGAGATAATAAAAATATTTACTCAGAAACAGGCGATAAGAAAAAATGTATAATTATATACAACAATTTTACATAAAATATGATTTATTTTATATACCTAATATGTTTCTCTGTTATTATGTTATGATTATTAAAAAACAATAAATATGAATCTTTATTGTTTGTTCTGGACTTTTAATATGATATATATATATGTATTTCATATTATATAATTCACTTACTTATATAATATTTATAATATTCTACAATTTACATGTAGGTACTGATATTGACATATTGTTATACTTATACTGTTCAATATGTTACCTATATGATATAGATAATTAGGTATATATTTATAATTTCCATTGCAAGTGGTATAAAAGTAAACACAAAAAAGCGGGTATGAGTGGATGTCGCTCTGCTGTATAGTAAGTTACAAGTGGGTTACTGTAAATTATAAAGGATGCAATTAAATTTGAATCCACTGATATTATATCATTGTATACGAAAACGATTCTGAGCGGAGACAGTTTATCTGTCTAGGATATATTATAGATTATTAAAAATTGTCAAATATATGTTCATGACAAGAGAAGCACGAGATAATGAAGATGATTCAGACTTGGAAGTCGATGGGATATCATTTCAACAAGTACATRACKTCAAATATCTCGKAGTCAACATAAATAATAGAAACTGTATGCATAATGAAATAAAACTCTGTTTAAAAGCTGGGAATGGATGTTACTTTGCTATGTCACATCTGTTTAGGTCAAAATTATTATCTAGGAAAAATAAAGAGAAGCTATATA